TCTTTCGAATTTGTTGTAATAGAACAAAGTTATAATGAATTCCACAGCAGCGACTTTTGAATCAAACAAATACAACAATTTTCGACGCAAACAAACTGACGATTTGGTCTTCAACCGGATCCAGATCTAAGGCGGTCCACGGATAAACCCCGGCACAGGCAAAGATCCCACGCAAGCAGAAGACCGATAAACGATCTCTGCGTTTGTTTTGACGAGAGTTGTAACTTTTGTTTTCATTGTGTAAAGATCTTATAAAAAGATTATCTTTTTTTGTTTTCATTAACGACCGAAGTTGTAATGAATACCGCAATGAATACATCAATTTTCGACGCAAACAAACTGGCGACCACAGTGGGAGCCAACAGCTTCGCTGCCGGAGCTGTCGTGTCGCAACCTCGGATCTGCATCCCGGTTGAAGAAGTGGTCGAATACGAGTTTGACCAACTGAAGTTCGAGGAATATCTGTCGTCCTCCTCCTCCAGATCCTCCGCCTCTCGCAAGCGAAGGAAGATCAACGCCCCCGTTGTTGCGGTAGCTGAACCTTACAACGCCCTTCCGGCCTCCAATGAGTCCGGATCTGCAGATCTGAACTCCTCCTCAATCAAGGAGTTGAGTACAGAAGGCGCGCCTATTTTATCAAAGAGAACTCGTCAAAGGCAGCGCCAACGCTGTGCGCGCCAACTCGCTAGAGCATTGGAGTCAATTGACGGGATCCGTTACGAGGCGGATCTGAAAATTAGGCAACGCCAAGCACCCCAACAGCGGACAGATGTCCTCCCCTCCAAACCAATAGCAAATGAATGGATCCAAATCAAAAAGATTCGTTCAACTCTGGAGGAGCGAATTCAAAAGCGCCGCGCGCTTGCGCGCACGCGAATTCTTGTGCAAAAAGCACAAAAGATGCAGAAGAAGGACATAGCTAAGAAACAACCAAGACTGCATCAAACTTGGAGGCCAAAATCCAAAACGGCAGCCGAAAAGATCGAGAATCGCGGGTCACTTGAATCCGACCCGCCGGCGCGCGGGTCACTTCAATCCGACCCGC